GGGAGGGGGGAGAATAGGGGAACCCATGGCTGATATGTAGAACTGATTGGTATTATAAAATAATATATATATATATATATAAAGCAACATCTACATGTAACTCTGTGCTGCCACCTTACGGGGAGCCTAAATTTGAAGTTATGTTTTTAATCTTTTAAATGTCCCTGTACAATGCAGTTCTTGTAAGTACTACCAACTTAGGGTGCATTATTCTTTAAACAAGAAATTCAGCTATAATAATTATAGAGAGGGAAAGCTGTCCAAAGTATGCTTAAATCATCATAATTGGGAAATTTTTTAAAGTCCTGGGAATGATGACTTACTGGCCCTATATCTCAAACACTAACACACCAGCAACAGAGTTACCAACAGTAAAAAGCTTACAGGGATTGGTATAGTTTTCTCTTTATGTTATAATTAAAATATGTGTTACTCTTAGTGAATGAATGTACTTTCCTTTAAAATTTAAAGTTGGAATAAAAGGATTTTAGAGTGAGCAAAGGACTTCAGTATTCCTGCCCTGACATGATGTACAAAAATCTAATAAACACACATGGAAAAGGGGGCTCAACATCATCAGTCTTCATGGAACTGCAGATTAAAAAGGCAGTAAGTCTCACATCAGCTATTCTAGTCTCCAGCAAAAATCTACCTAGATCCTCAGAGGTGGCTACACACTGGGACCTTTCTGGAAAACTAGTGTTCAGCTTTATTACAACATTTGGAGCTTGGCTACCATCCTTGTAGCAGCCCAGACATGAGCTGCAGGTCTCCTCATGAACACCAGGGGCAACAATAAACCCCATAATCAACAGGGAATACTCTCCTTGACGAATGAACCTATCTTTCAGGCTTGTTTCCATCCCAGTTCCAACAGCTCCCTCATATAATCATTCCCTGTGTCACTGAGACACCCACTCTGCAAGGTGACCTTATGAAGTCCCCTCCCTCCTCTTATCATCCGTGAGGACAGACAAGAATATCATAGGGCAATCGCCAAGGAGAACAAAGTCATCCCAGAAAGGTCAGGGAGGCCATGGGCAGACCTGAATCACATTCAGCCAGCACAGGAAGTTGGGGTCCTGGTGCCCTCCATAGGAAGGTGGAGCACATGGTACTCTTTCTAGGACACACAGGTCACCTCATCCTGCACACCAGGATACAAACCCCTGAGATGGTGTGTATCCATGGATCAGACACCTAATAGGTGACACCATTGAGGATGAATCTGGGTCCTCCCCAGTCATCACTCAGCTAGACATTTTCCAGCCCCGCGGGGAAGACTGCCACTCTGGGCTGGGAATAAATCCCACCCTCCCTGATCATTGAGATCACAGGGCAGACTGGGCTCTGCTGGGTTTTATGTCACAAGGAAATACACCCTTGACCCTGGGTTGAGCTGCTGTTCTCTCGGGACACAGGACACTTCTCAGCCATGTGGTTCAAAGTATGTTCTAGAACACCTAACAACAAAGGAATAGAAGGGTGGGAGGCAGCACTCACAGAAGAACAGAGCAATGCACACACACAGACTCCACCCACTGACCATCTGACTCCAGGAGGTTCCCTCCTCTGGGAGGAGGCTCAGTTGTGGGAATAAAATCAGAGCAGACACCAGAGGGGCCCAGCTTGCCAGGAGCCTGAGAGTCAAACCTCCTCTCCAGAGGAAGAGCCTAGCCCACAGCAAAGACTATGGAGCTCACCTCAGCCCCTCTCCACAAAGGACAGGTCTCTTGGAGGGGACTCCTACTCACAGGTGAGGAGACATTCCTCTGGAGTAGGAGAACTCAGAGACTAAATGAGGTCTTTGGGGAGAGGGAAAGAGCCTGAGAAGGTATGTCTGGCTTCTGCTTGAAGCCTGAGTGCAACAGGAAGCTCATGGTGGATGGGAATTGGTGTAGAGGAGGAAAAACTCAGTTGTTCCACATTGTAAGTATATCAGCACTGGCCACTGGATCCTGAAGACTGACATTCACACTTCTGTCAGGGTGACTCTCCAAGTAAAACTCAAACGAAGGTGAGTACACCACAGCCTCATTTTATAGGACCCTGAGAAATCTGCAAATAAACCCCAGGCTCTGGGACACTCATTTACTCACAGGTATCTGAGCCTGCTGTAGGCATTATGGTTTAAACCAAAATCAAAACAGTCCTCCTCACAAAGCCCTACTCCTACTGGGCAGGAGGACAGAGCAGCAAGGACATCTAAAAAGTGGGCCCAGGGGTTGACAAGCACTTCAGAAGAAACAGAGCAGGTATGGTCAGAAAATGAAGGCACAGAGTCTTTAGAGGAGGAGGTCAACAAGACGTGTCTACACTCACCAAAGATGCTGATTATGAGTAGAGTTCTGAGGGCAGTGAGGGTTGAGCTGTGTAGATACATGAGAAGATAGTTCCATACAGTGGAAAGATTCGGGGGTACTGATGAATGGGGGTGATGCTGCTGACCTCGTCCCAACAGGACACACATACTAAGACTGAGAGTTGAAGACACTCACATTCCAAAGTTCCTAATGCAAAGGTCCTAATATTGATAGATTTTTTTTCTCTCTTCCCTCTTAGCCTTGCTTTTAACCTTCTGGAACTTTGCCACCACTGCAGAACTCACCGTGGAGGCAGTTCCAACACACGCTGGTGAAGGGGACAATGTTCTTTTCCTTGCCCTTAATATGCCACAGTCACAGAAGTTTTTTAACTGGTTCAGGGGGGATCGACTTAATATGTCAAACAGCATTGTACGATTGATAACACACAGAAGTAAAATAGAAAGAGGACCTCTCTACAGCAATAGAGAGACAATACACACCGATGGATCCTTACTCTTCGAGAATGTCACTAAGAAAGATGCAGGAGTCTATTTGCTAGTTGTGACTACGGAAGACTTTGATGAAAAGAGAGCAACTCTGCAGTTATATGTACAAGGTAAGTAATTCTCTGTAACCTCTGGGTCAAGGGTGGAGCTAATCCTATTACACACATAGGGTGTGCCTCTGTGTTATGGTCCCCACATTGTGGTTCAAACATTCAGTAAAGGACATACATTAATGTGTGGGGAAAACAGCAAGAAATCAATTGAATCCACTCTTAGAGAAAAGAGGGTGAGGGAACTGAACCCAGGAATGTCACACTTTGCCTAGGGTCTTAGATGATCATCATGACCATGGCCTTGAGAAAGACCTTTCAGGACTCAGGCAGGGGCTGGCTGAGGAAACCATGAGAGTCTCACAAAGGGATGACCCCCGATAGCTTTGCTCAAGAAACCAGTGCTATACTGGATCAGGAATCCTGGGAAGCTTGTAGACTGGATTGGAATTTAACCTCCTGTTGGAGTTGACAAGGGACAACAGTGAATTGTAGGCTGGGATCCTCCT